TTCAATGAGTTATGTAAGAGATCGATCGTGCTTGACTCTCTCCGAAACCCTGCTTGCCTCTGGATATCCCTTTTTATAAAGCAACACAGTCTTACTGATTTTACACGACGTGGGCACTTCGCATTCCGACAGGTATCGCGTGGAGAGCGTAGTCAGAGTTCTGACAGTGAGTAGTGGAAGGCTCTTCGGATGTTCTAGTTTGATCCCATCGGGACCGAGCGCCGTACAGTTCTTCATCGACGTGATAGCATGTCGTATTTCGGAAGGGAGATCTATCGGGACCGAGCGCCGTACAGTTCTTCATCGACGTGATAGCATGTCGTATTTCGGAAGGGAGAACCGAAGGAGCAATATATTCGTTGTGCCTAAGAGTTGGGAAGGCAGGTAGACCTGGCTGTCGAAGAGATTCGGGATGCAGTAACTGTTCCGTAAGGACGACAAAGGGGAGTCATCCTGATCTTCTAACCAGCGAAGCTCCATCGGGCTAATGCTACTCTTCCCTCTTTCAGATCTTTATCCAATGCTTCTCTGCAAAGGTTCGCAAGTTCGGACGTTTATTGATGATTGCCTGTAGCTCGCGCGATTCCACGCTGGCGTATCAGCTCGAGAGTCTCCGAAGAGAGTCGTCTCTTGGCTACTTGTAGACTCTCTGCTTTCGTAGCACTATCGTGAAGATGCTCGACGAGCCGGTTGTATTCCTCAACAGTGTTGCCGGTAACGGAATCTTCCCATTTACTACAAGGAAAGGAAAGTGGTCCCAGTTGATGGAGGTCCTGGGGCTTCGTTTCCTAAACTTCATAGCTATCTCCCCACGCACTGAGAAGCAGAATCTAGCGCGGAGGAGACGATGTTCCGATCCCGTATAGAAATCAGAGCAACAGCTACGTCAGTCAGGCAAAATCTCCGATTAAAAATTATGCGTTCTATTTTATTTTGAACTGTCCACTAGGTGACTCCCATGTCCATCGCAAGTAAGAGAAAGCAAATAAGAGGGCTCCTAGAACTGTGAGTTACCATAGATGATGTGGGTCGACATGATAAACTCAGACAGCCTTCGCCCTGCTCATTCCATTCCATTCCGTGACTCCCGATGTGGAGCTCTTCAGCCGTTCTTCTGGGGCCACTCTTGGTGTTGAAATCACCGGCGATGTCTTCGAAAGAAGTATGGTCTTCTCTGTAGAGCCTCTCTAGACCTATATGAGATGTTCCAATTTTCTTCTGCGTAGCTTGATGTTAGTGCGTAGGCAACAAAGATGGTCAGAGCTGAGGTTGACCCACACCTTCTTAATCATCCGATTAGGGATGATAGATTCCGTACGAATCGATGTTCATGGCCAAGTACGTGTTGAGGAGGACACCCACACCTCTACTATCGCATGTTCCAAGAGACAGTTCTTCTCCAGTCTCGAATACAGCGTGCAGCGGGCGATGACTACTCATCTCGCTCAGTCCGATGACGTCGTACTTGATCTTCCCAGCTTGCACCGACAGGTCTTCTATACGGGCTTCCGATGCAAGCGTCCGTGCGTTGAAAGTACAGATCGTCAACTTGGTCCTTCTCACTTTAGGTAGCCTGTTTTGGCCATGAGGTTTTAGCAGCCTGTTGGTGAGCTGATTTGGCCCCCGACGCTGCCTTATCGGGGACTTCCTTTGTTTCAGGGGCATGGGGCTCATTTTTATCACTGTTATTGGCAAGTGAATACCCAACGTGTAGCTTGCCAAGATGCAAGTTTTTGGCTGAGTCGATGAGCAGGATACCAACTGCACTTACATTCCCTCCCCACACCCTGCGAGAATCAGAGGGCAAATCGACCAGCACAGCACAATAAGGGAGTCCACCTGTGAATCCATTTGCGTCTCCGGGCGAGTACCGGCTGCTTCTGGTCTGCGATTTACTCTCCTATCCGCCACCTGGGCGTAGCCTCATTGCTAACCGGCTGGGATCTTTTATTGAGAGAGAACCCTCAGTGAAAAGACATCCGTAGTTGCATGACCCAATACAATAAAACACCAGTTTTATTCGTCTGTTCGTCACTATACGAAAAGAGAACTTAGATTCTTGAAGTGCATGCTTCAAAGAGGACTCCGTCCACGGCAAAAGGGGGTTCGGGGATTCTTTGAGGGGAAAAGCTCCTAAAGAGGCTGGAATAGTACGGAGGTGGGGTCTATCACAGTTAGTTACCTCATCTATCGTCCGCGGGGGAGGCGAGGATGGGCGATAGCGGGGAAGGCGTGGATGGGCGACAGGTGAGTGTAAAATGTGTTTATCCTGCCTGAGTGAACCTCCTCACGCTGTTGGCTGAATGTGCAATCAAGCAAGAGCAAGCCCTACAGAAATTCCCAAAACTGTTAGAGCAGTATGAAGTCTAGAAAGTCTCACTTTTGTGCATTGATTGGTTCGTATTGGCTTCCCAGCAGATCAGCCATGGTTCGCACCAGAAGTAACAAAGGATATCATGATTCAGCTGCTGAATCTGATCCTGAAGGAACCAATTTCAGCTGCTGGATCTGGATCCATACCAAATCCCAATCTAAGCGCAAATGATGTTACATCTGAATCAACTAAATGACCGCCAATGATCTCGTTTTGCGCATCATCGAGATCAATAAAGATCCTATAATTTCTAAAATGCTCGCTGCGCTCAGCAAAAAGATACCCAAAGAATGCGCGTCTTTTGCTGAACAAGAAAGGCGTTCTCGTGGCATCGTCATAGCCGGGCTAAAGGAAAATGAAGTAAGTTTATCGCCATCCGCTCGCCAGCACGAACTCGAGAGGAAAGTTTTTGATATTTTGGATGCCTTAGACATGGAGTTTAGACATGCGAAGTTTTTTGTATGGGTAAAGCTGACCCCTGTAAACCTCGACTAGTTAAGGTAGTTTTTTCTACTTCGTTTCATTGGCGGAGGGCGTTAGCCAACTCGCGCACCAACTGGCTGAAGACGGAATGGGTGAAAAATGTGAGTAAGTCGTTCGCGGCAGCACTGTAAGCAGTGGGATTATCCCAGTCAATTTTAAGATTGAAATCACCCAAAATGCAGTGCTCTCTGGAAAGGGCGAAAGTGATCAATATTTCAATAAGATCGTCATCATTTTTTGAACTGGGTTTGGGGAACGATATACGAGTATAAATCTTATGCAAAACATCGAGTTGGGACCTACTGATTCAGTGCATAGTATATCTGCTTTAGCGAAAATCATTAGCAATGACATTAGCACGAAAGTCATTAGCAATAACATGCATGAACAGATTGCTTCTAAAAATGCAGCAGACTCCTCCGCCCTCATATCTGGCTCCCTTTCAGCAATTAGCAGTTGAAGATTCATGATTTTATTTATTAGGCTGCGACAATTTATCAGTATGCAAGACAGTGAGGCCGCTGACCATGCGGAGCTACGCGTTACCTGTTTATTGCCTGGTGCGTTCGATGACTCCTATTGGTCAACTCAGAAATATGTTTGAGCTCACCGAGATAAACAATCCATCCTCTGGTACTCCTACCTTGGTTCTTATTCTTTGCCAGATGTCTTTGTTCGAAGTCTTTTTTCCTTTCCTCCAAGGTCATGCTCCTTTTAACGAATACGTCAGGAAAGCCGGAATGTCGAAGATTGCACGAGTTGGCTAACGCGGTCCTCCAATGAAACGAACTAGAAAGTACTACCTTAACTAGTCGGAGTTCAGAGGGGTCATCTTTACTCATACGAAAAACTTCGCATGTCTAAACTCCATGTCTAAGGCATCCAAAATATCAAAAACTTTCCTCTCGAGTTCGCGCAGGCGAGCGGATGGCGATAAACTTACTTCATTTTCCTTTAGCCCGGTTATGACGATGCTACGAGAACGCTTTTCTTGTTCAACGAAATACGCGCATTCTTTGGGTATCTTTTCGCCGAGGCAGCGAGCATTTTAGAGATTAAAGGATCTTTATTGATTTCGATGATGCGCAAAACGAGAACATTGGAGGTCATTCTGTTGAAGTCGCATTCAGATGTAAGATCATTTGCGCTAGATTGGGATTCGGTATGGATCCAGATCCAGCAGCTAAATAATTGGTTCCTTCAGGATCAGATTCAGCAACTGCATCATGATTTCCTTTGTTACTTCTGGTGCGGTGTGGGCCAATCAATACACAAAAGTGAGACACGACCAAAGTCACAAATAGCACACCTGAAAAACAGCACCGCAAAAAGAGAAACGGGACTGATTGCGATAGGAAAGACACGAGTGAAGAAAACAAGGCTATGAAGAAGTAGATTTGGTGAACTTCGAGACAAAAAACAAGATTGATCTTTGGTTCGTTCAGTTTTCTCTGCCCAAGATGTCATTGTGTCTGACGTTCATCAATTTTGCGTTTTACTGATGAAGGCAATGCAGTCGCGCTTGGTGATTTCTTCGCAAGCGTTTTCTCAAACTCGAGTGATACGCTAGGGGTGCGTAACATGTCTGAGTTTGCTCCTCATTACACCTGTGACAGCATCTACTTTCATCCCTCCGACATTTACAAACTACTGAGATGCCTAAAGCCCTCAACCACTGAACCTCACGACGGTATTCCGTCTGTGGTTTTTAAACGATGTGCCTTATCACTCACTAAGCCACAAGCGCACATCTTTAATGTCTCCTTTGCGTTGGGTGAAGTACCTGAAGTTTGGAAGGAAGCGCTGGTCATCATTCCGAAAGCCTCTGGTCAGCCTCATTTGGTCTCTGAATTTCGACCTGTAAGCATTACATCGACGGTGACCAAAATTATGGAAAAAATTGTTGGAGCGAAGTTGTTGTCCTGGTGCGACAAGTTCGAACTTGTACCTCCAGTACAACATGGTTTTAATGGTGCGAGCACAACCACTAATCTTGTCGATAGTCCATTTGACTGGCATCTTGCACTAAACCAAGGGAAATCCATCGATGTTGTCTACATATGTTGACCTGACCAAAGCATTTGACAGAGTCAATCATTGAAAATTAAGTTGTTAACTCGAAGCCCTCGGCATAAGCTGTTCCTTATTGAATTGGATGACGTCGTAATGGAAGGACCGTTATTCGACAGTGAAAGTAGGAAACGGTTTTTCTCACCGTTTTCATTTTTCCGGTGGAGTGCCACAGGGTGGAGTGCTTTCCCCCTTTCATTCCTGGTCTATACTTTGGACTTGGCAAGGACCTTCAGTACCTCTGTGAACACTGGGGCGCAAATTTATGCTGACGACATCGAGTTGTACGGGTTTTGTGATGAAGGGAATTGCGAGGAAGTTAGCAGTGATCTCATGAAATCTCGAGAAAGGCTGATGACGTGGGCTTCTGACCTTGACTTGTCTCTTACCATGAAGAAATGTTTTGTACTTCTCGTGGGTAAATTAGCCGCTACTGATTACTGCATGAATGGTGTCACGTTGACGAGATGTGACACTGTGAGGGACCTTGGTGTCATAATTGACACAAGTCTGAATTTCTCCTTCCATGTGGAGCATGTAAGTAGTAAAGCCTATGCTTCGCTCTTCACCATTTTCAGAAACGTCCGCAGTAATAAGGCCCATATTCTTGTGCGGCTTTATTAATCCTATGTATTCCCTCACTTGGAATATGCTTCTTAGGTTTGGAACCTCACTCGTAGAAAGGAAATTCAGAGGCTAGAACGTGTCCAACACACGTTGACCAGACTACGTTTTCTTTGGATGAATAGCATCTTCCGTGGGCGCTTTGTACCTTGTTATGAAGAGAGGTTGCGAAGGCTCGGGTTGAAAACTTTGCGGTATAGTAGAACAGTTTCTGATCTCGTTCTTGGATTTCAGTTACTTCGTAAAGAATTAAAGTTGGCTCTACGTGAATACTGGATATTTAGACCCTGAAATGAAAGATCTAGCGGTTATAGCTTGCACTATCAAAAGACCCCAAACAGGATTGCTGATCGATTACTCGACTTCTTCTTTTAGCGTGTGGCACGATGGTTTTAACGTCTTCCCGGTGAGGTTATGAGTGCCCAGAACAGTCAGGTATTCAGGAGTAGGTTGGAAAAAATCGATTCGCTTCAAGTCTTAGGTCTTGTTGATGCCCCATGAAGTCGTATTTCGTTGCAATGTTTGCATTTTTGCTCGCTTCTTTCCTATCGTCGACATTTGTGACCGTCAGCATTTTGTCATGGCCGTCAACTTTACCTACTTCTTCTGTAGTAAGGGGTCTTGTTACGTCGGCTTAGATTACTTCACAGTGTTCTTCTCCAGGCTTCAGTTTTTAGTTTCTTTGAGCTAGGTACTTGACTTGATGTCGTTCTTATGTCTCCATATATATATTTGGAATGTAGTGTCTTCTATTTCTTTCGCTACCTCCCTCTCTTCCCAGTGTCACTGAGTGGTTCTGATGCCTTCTGGCTCTGAAGGTTGCCGACGGGCTGAATTTTTTTTCTAGACTGTGATTTGCACTCACCCACTGTTATTTTATTCCGGTGGGCCCAAGTTCAGATTGTTAGGGGTAGGGAATACCTAACATACGAAAATCTGGTCTCGTGGTTCGACTTGCATGCCCTTGTGCTCCTGTTGAATGGCGTTATCCCTAGCGCCAACCACCACTTCATTGATCTCATGTCACTATTAGGGGACAAGTGCGTGTTGTGCTTTCTTCCGTCTTATCAGAATAGACCGTGCCAGGTAACCCTTGAGGTTGGAAGAGTATTCACCACCTGTGACCGAGGATTTGTTTGAAGGTCTGTTTTATCTGGGACGTTATCGTGAGTACTGTGAGGATCTACTTACTTACTTGGATACTTGGACGCTCGTTGTCGGCTGATAATCCTCAGCGGCGAGCACACGCTTCCATCCATTTTTGACGATCTTGAGCGGTTTGGGACCAGTGTTGACCATCGTTTCCCTGAAGTTTCTTCAGTGAATCACTCCATCTCGTTGCAGGACGGCCAAGTGTGCGTTTAATCTCACGTGGGTACCAGAACGTGACGCGAGCGGTCCACCTGTCGTCCGTGCGTCTAACCACGTGCCCTGCCCATCATTTCTTTGCGTTCCACGCGCAACTTCGGCGCCACGGATGCCGGACATTGAGCGCATGTCTGCGCTGCGGAGGTTGAGACTTCTCTGCTTTGCGCGGTTGATCTTCAGCAGCGTCCGCTCTAGAGCTCTTTAAGCGTTGACGTCTTGTTTTCCGCCCACGTCTCGGATGCGTAACAGAGTGCTGGCAATACCGTAGAGTCGAAAAGGTCAGCTCGTACTTTCTTGTCCGATACGAGATGAGCCGCTTCTTTTGTTTCCGATTG